ATATATATATATTAGATGGGATTTTTTTGTTAAATAATGGGGCTAAAGCCAAACTACAAAACTACTCAAAATAAACCAACAGAAGTGTCTGCCTCTAAAAAACGAGAAATGAAATCAGGAGGAGATTTAAATTGTATATAATCTTCCCTCCTTGACATTATGGATTTTGTTAAACAATCCGTCACTGAATTAGCTTCCCTAAATATATGTGAAAATTATATAGACATAATTTTTCTTGAACACCAAACTGCCGGAAGGATGCGTAGATGAACATCCACCAAGAATTAGTTGTACCGCCAATGAGTAATCAATTTCCACAAACACTCTAACATCCAATCCTGTAGACCGATAAAGACGCAGACCATATAGGATAACCCATAACTACTCAAATTGGATGACTGAGCACCTACCTAGCTGACATGAGAATCCAGCCACAAAATTACCACTTTCATCCCGAATAACTCCCCTGCAAGAAGCAACACCAGAGATTGAGACTACTCCATCACAATTAATCTTGATCAAACTGGTTGGAGGATACGACCATTTTTGCTTAGATGACAAATCTGAAATTGAAAATCGAGACTGAGACCCCAATCCGCATGAAAATGAATAAATAGTGGATAAGGAGGATACTCTATTCTTTATAATCAATACTAGTTGGTCCACTGCTATGTTGGCATTCTAGAAGAGAAATTGATTTCTTTGGTGCCACAAAGAATCAAGAGCTATTGCGGAACAGGTTCTCCAGCCTTCCCAAACAAGATCGGATTTTAACAAATTATATATAATAACCAATTATGGAGGTCAGCAGAAAAGAAATGTGCATCAGCTTTCGAACCTAGCAATCAATTCCAAACTGATTTTGCAAATGAGCAGTCTCTCAATATGTGTAACGTATTTTTTGTGCCTGTCTGTCACGCAAGTACTACAAGATGATAAGTTGCTTAAATCAAAGCTTCACCCTGAGATCATTTGTGAGCAAGCTATTATGAGCTATCCTCCTCCATAGTAGAATGCGAATATGTTCAAGGCCTTTCCAAAGCCATATTATCTTAAACACTTGTTGAAGAGTTGGATTTTGCATGGACCCAATTACCTTATATGTAGACTTTAATGAGAAATGGTCGTCATTTGATAGATTCCAAATCACCCGGGCTTGAATCTGTGGTGGAGTTATCCTTACAACATCTGCAAGAACCTCACTAGGGAGGCAACTTTGTAAATTATCCAGCTCCCATTCACCTTGTGCATTCACATAATCTCCCACTTTCTTTAATAAATCTCCAGTTGGAATAAATGACATTGCTAACTAGATTAATGGTATTAAACCTGGCACCCATCTATCAAACCAGAAGCTCACATTAGCTCCATCACCAACTATCCATCTAATATGAGGTTTCACCAAATGCAAAGCTTCACTAACACCCACCAAAGATTAGACATCTTTTGTTTTTTCTCCACTCGAGGAATAATGCTTTCCAGACACCCATATTTGGATAAAAGTACCTGAACCCAAAGCTTGTCCCTATCAACGATCAAACTCCAACAATTTTGTTGTGATAATTATTCTATACATACACACAGACACAACACGCACGCACGCACGCATCATAGACTTCATGAACTTCACAGACCCCAAAATGTTCACCAAATTGTTCTGCAAAACACACAAGTGGCTTTCACATGTTCCTGGGCCTCAAATTTATGAACCCAAACTCTCTAAACCTAGATACCTACATGACTATTTTTGTTTATTCCAAGTTTAAAATAGTATAGGGGAGCGGGAGGGGGGTTAATCACGTAAATTAAAATAGGCATTCTATATTGATTAAATAACCGATGTTAAATGTACAGACTTTCTACATGGGTTGTTTTAATTGACAATAATAATTAGAATATTCTAATGGATTGAATTTGATAAATGTTATATTTTAGGATGTTATATTTTAGGATATATGATTTGTGATAGTTCAAAATTTTTAAATTAATGAAAATAAATTTTAATAAAATATTAAGACACAAATATTTTCTTTTAAAAGAATTATGTTACTTGGATTTTTTTATATGAAGATACCTAAGAACAGTGGCTCAATCTTGTCAAGCTAAAAAAAAGAGAAGAGAATATTATCCCTTTTATATATAATAATAATAATAATAATAATAATACAAAAATAATTTTCTTCATTAAAAATAAATAAATGTGAATAAATAAAGTAAATATTTGTAACAACTAATATAGGATGAAATAAATATTTTAAAAATCATAAATAATTTAGAGGTAATATTTTTTATGGTAGACATAATAGGCTGTTAATACATTTCTTGAATATAATTGACTTTCGAATCTAAATTTAGTTTTTAAAGACCATATTTTTTTTTCTTTTTTATGGATTTTTCCCCGATGTTTATATCATATAAATATTAACAGTGACTCCCTTTTTAAATTTTTTTTTTATTGTCTCTCTACGACTCCAATTGCGACATGTCTTTACACATTATTGTGTTCTTCTTTAATCCTTTGGAATGACAATAATATTAAAGGCTAAATGCGTTAATCAATTCAAGGGATTCACTAATTATAATTAGAATTAGAGTTCCCGTTTGTAATGTTGAACTTCGTATGCATATTTCCTTTTATCTTCAATTTTTCTTTAGTTACACGCGTTGTATAGTTTTCGCAGTTTGTGAATTTAAGTTTTTATTATAAATTGAAGTAGAATTAGATTAAGGCATCCTAATCTGAATTCTAATTGAGGCTGGGTTATCGGTTGATAACCTAAATGTAAATGCACCTAAATTAACTTTATTTCAGAGTTGTGAGTGTGATTCCATTTTTGTTGATTATATTCTAGATAGTCATCTAGCGGATTTTGAATTGACAAATATGTGTACAAATTTCTCATCCTACCGAACTCTCACAACACCAAAAATGATTTTTTATGGCAATTTTTATGTTATTTAGCGACCATATAAATGGTCATTAATAATATCTTTACCGGAAATTAGATTATGGCCGTTGTATTTGGGGTCGGTAAAACTATTAGTGTCATTTAAAGTGAGTGCTGGTAAAGACCTTTTAAATGGCCGGAAAAAATAAAAAAAATTTTAATGACAATTCTAGTGACAATTTTAATGGTCACTAAAAGTAATTTCATTGAATAATAGATTCTCATATATGTAAAAAAATTGTATAGAAATACAATTGAATTTCATTAGATAAAATAATTTATTTTGATAGCATATTGATACTCAATTAGTTAAATTCAATTAAATAAAATTATTTTTAGTCCATGCATTGAAATTGATGATGGAATCAAATTCAATTTTTCATCCATTGATTTTTTTTTATTAAAAAAAACTACTTTCTTTACTAATATTCTCATCCACCATTTTTCATAAAAATAATGAGAATAATAAATTTTTTAAATGAGTACTCCATGTTTGCAATAACACCAAATACCCATTTATTAGAGTAATGCAAAATTTATGAGTTTATCATGTCCTTGAGATACCAAGGAAACCATTGAAAAGACAAAATGAATAGTCAATGATGTTATGATCCAAAGAAATTACATAATTTCATTTCTAAGATAATCATATCCCTAAAGAAAGCAAGGTCTCTAATGATTTAGAGCTATTTGCTAAAATGTCTAAAAGGTCTTCATCAATTGCAATTGAATCCTACAAAGCACAAAATAAACAAATGTCCTCCTTCAATGCAGGTTCATCAATTTCCTATTAACAATATAACATTTAATGTACTATCAAATCAAATGCAGTATTACAACAAAGGAATAACATGTGCATAAGAAATGGATTAGGCTCAATACCACATTATACTTTGTTGAATTCTTATTTAAAGAAAGGTACAAACATCCAGCCAATAAAAATACATATAGCTCTGTTACGTTCATTGCCTAATGTCCATTATGGTGATTAAATTATGGATCAGTATCATAAAGTATAAGCAGGGGAAAAGTGATTCTAGACATGTGGTTCGGTTCGATTTGGCACGTCATGATAAAATGGAATAAACCTTTTTCAGGTTGGAATATTACCAAAGAAAAAATATATATGGTATTTTTTTAACATACTTTCTTATTTTAAAACAAAAGTCAAATCTCAATTTCTTTTGGTACCATGTATGAACTTAATAGAACAAGAAAAGATATATTATAGTAGAATGAAATTAAATATGCTAAATAAAACTTATCATTCTATTGTTTCAATAATTTTATCATAAAATAAAACGACCTTAAGGTATTTGATTTTTTTCATTTTTTTTTATTATTTCTTTAAATTTAATTGTTCTACATTAAACCAAATATTAATCAGTATCATAAAGTAAAACAAACTAATTCTACCACGCACGTCTTAAATTTAAAAGAAAAACTGTGAAATGAAATTAAGTAATACAATGTCTAATAAATAATTACCATTCATGGATAAATTGGCAATTGCCTTTGCTGCTAGTATGCGAACAACTTCATCATTATCTTTTCTAGTAAGCTTGAGCAAGGAAGTGAGGTCATCATCTTGAACCATATTGTTTTTGTTAACCTCTACATATTATAATAAATCAAATTACTATAACAATTGGAATTTTAGTTGATTGTGATTCTACAAATCCAAACAAAAAGGTTGAGAAATTACAAAAGTAACTTAAACCTCTTTAAGAAAAAATAGCATGTGTAAAACAAGAAGACATGGGCCAAACCTGTTTTCACAGTTACAGTAGATTTTGTAGGTAATTGTGATTCTACAAATCCAAAAAGAAAAATATGTAAGCTATAGAATAGAAAAAAATTCAACCAGGATATCATATGTTGTCATACAAAAAAAAGACTAAAACAAGCTACATGATAAATAGATATTATTAAATAAATAAACACAAATGAATACTGCTTAAGAAACCAAATTATACTTGTGGTCTACAGGAGTAGGAGTATGAAGAATATGAAATAACGTACAGAGGAATCCAGCTTCCAATTACATAATTATCTCATGTACCTCATATCTTGTGATTTCCCTGTTAGATACTTAAACTGCCACTACAGCAAAAACCAATATGGTAGTATTGCAAAGCACATATTCACCAAAGCACTAATTAAATGATTTCTATTAGTGCCTTTTTTGTAATCCTCCTATACTTCTCTTAGGTTCTGGGAGTTGTTCAAAATAAAGTGGAATGGAAGTTCAAGACATCCAATGTACATGAACATTCTTATACATAGAAACAATATTCTATTGCCCTGATAAAAACATTTAGACAAGATTGAAACAATAAACAAAAAGCAGTAACAAATTACCATGAGTACCAAAGGGCATGTGTGGCATTTCTGGTGCTTTTTCCTGGCCAATATTAGTACTAAAGACCTAATTAAGACATAAGAAAATAAAATTGTCTTTTACAATCAAAATTTGAAAAAAGAATTGCTTAAAAGCATTTGAATCATACCTGTCCAAATGAGCTTCCATTGAACTTTTGAGGCATAGATAGCTCCATTGGAAAATGTTTATACATGAATTTTCTAATGAAAGATAGTTCTGAAAGTAACTTATCTTGATTTTGTTTCATCAAATTCATTTCTTCATCATGTTTTTCCTTTAACATCCTTACATCTTGCTCTAATCTTTGTACTACCTCATTAGATATATTATCAGCAAAAGTACTTCCTATGGAAGATTTAGAACCCCACAACAAAAAAGATGTTGGACCAAGCCCTAAGCCACGAACATAGCCACTTCTTTCAGCCCCCAATACTTGGGAATACACATCTCCTTCCCAAGCAACACTACCAATAGCTTTTTCATTAGATGCTTCACCATTGTTCAATTTTTCTTGCATCACATCCTATGTAAGAAAGTTTGAAGTTATTATATACTCACAATCAATATAAAAATATTCAAAATAATTCAAATGGCATATATAATATATAACAAGTATAAAATTTGTTTAAAAAATCTAACCACTATTTTTGTAGACACTTCATCCAATGGTCTTCCATCTTTACGTTCCTTATGAGTTAATATAAAGATTTATGCCCTTGTAGGCTCCATCCCATCTATGGCCTAATAAGATTAAGTTGATGTCAAATAAATTCTCAAGACAAATGTAACAATATTATAATTTGTAAATTATCCACAAATACCTTTTCGGCCATTAAGGTTCCAATGCTTTTGGATCCTCCAGTGTGAGGCATCTTTTGCTTTGTCCTATTATTTCTATTTGCTTGGCTACGCTTCTGTTATTAAAACACACAATAACATCATATAATATATTTATAAAAAAATAAAGAGAAATACTTTAAGTATTGCATAAAATATAAACTATGTGTTGGTCTTTTCTAAAGTTGTTACCTTTCCTTTATCAGAAAGCCAATAAGAGACAAGACCAATCCATTGGTCCATTGGTATACGAGTTGGTTTGCTTTTTATCAAGGCATCTATAGTCTTATACCTTGTCATGTACTTACACCTTAGTTCACATTTGTAATCTTTCAATTTCTTCCCTAGTGATGTTTTTACAAAATCTTCACCTCGTGCGGGGATTGAGAATTTCCTCTACATAAATAACACACAAGTAGTTACGAGGTTATGTGAAACAAGAAAAAAATAAAATAAAATAAAATTATATTAAAAACTAATGAGAATAGTTATTTCATACCCTCACAAGCTCCACCAATTTCTTTTTTTGATCTTGATCAAAACTTCTCCAATCATCTATGTTTAAAGGTGTTAATTTTGGGTTTCTAGCTATAATGCCAAGAAAGCTAGCAAGATTTCGACCCTCTTTTCCTATGGCTTGGTTACGGTTATTGAATTGGACATCAATTGTCTTTCCATGAGGCATATTCCATATATCTTTTAATAAAGTAGGCCCACAAACCTTCCTTGTCTCCAAAGAACCTAACATAAAAGTATTTAAATGTCAAGGCTTAACTAAAGAAAATTAATATTATAAAAAAAATTATTCATTACAATAATTTCACCTTATTCATCATTTTGCTCAACATCAAAGCTACCTAAATTTTTCAATCCATTTGACTTGGGTTCACAACAATTTTGATTGGGGGCCAATCCTACTATCCAACAATTATTCCCACAGCCCCGAGCGATGTTTCTTACTCCCCCCTTACCTGGATGAGCAGAAGACGAATGATCTTGGTGTGATCTATAATCGTCCCTGAGTACTCTTTCTTAGAGCTTTTTGTTTCACCTCTTTTTTTTCCCTAACCCTTTAGAACGCAAATGAGGTAGATAGGGTTAACGCTACCTGACTCCTTTCTTAAAATTAATCCATTGGATTGGGTCAACCCAACCCATTTTCCTTCTCTTTCAACCCACTTCTCTTTTTCCTCAAAATAATTAAATAAAATAAATACATGTATATTACAAAATATTTTTCCTCTATAATAATAATATATTTCTGACCCAAAATATAATAATATAATTTCAATAACAAAATATCATATAAAATCAACCTTCTCTTAAAACATATAAATATTTATTTAAAAACGCTAATAAAATACTTATTTAATACATACAAAATAATTGTCCAAAATAATAATTATTTAAAATGTACAAAATAATATTCCTCTATAATTATTAAAATAATTATGACCAAATACCATCTAATAATAATAATAATAA